AAAACAGAGAGCATGTTGATAGAGCACAGGATTTGCACAGAAATGAATAACACATTCCCCCAGCCAGACCATTGTTTCTAAAGGATAACTGCCACTGAGTGCAATCTGGGACATCCCAATTGCTCTGCAAATTACCTTTACTCAATGAAATTCAAGGTATCCCTGGCTCATGAGGAGGGGGAGCTAACCTTAGGTTTTCTTCACACCCTCAAAAACTCTATATAAAGAAAAGTAATCAAAACTAATCAAACTTTCAAAGAGGCTGCTAAGGAGGAAGAAAGAGCAATTGTTACTGCTCTATTTAAATGTTGGGGAAGGGCTCGACTATTATGGGGATAGGGTGGTGACCTACGCAGAGCAGAGGATTTGCAGAAGAAGCAAGAGGATAATTGCAAGACTATGTTATTATGGAGACAATGGCTTGGCTTTAGGATTTGGGGGCTTCTCCAATTACTCCTGTTGTCCCTGTTTACACCAGAGAAGGCGCATCAGGAAAGAGAGAGCATTGTAAAGAAGCACAGAGATTTTGGCAAGATGAGATGACGATAAGGTGTATCAAAGCAGGCATCACTGGCAGAGTACGGGGGCGGGGGGGAAGGTGTTTCCATTTCCCTAGTTAAAAAGCACTGCTTACCTTTAATTGGCTAAACCAATTTTTCTTCACTTCCTGGACCAGGATCTGATTTACACTGTTGAATCAGCAAACGGATTCTGCTCCCTTGTCTCTCAACTGAGCAGCGTTGGTGGTGCAGCTATACAGGCTGCTGTTTCCATTTCAATGGCTACAGCTCAGGAGTGGGTGATTCGATCCCTCTATTTATACTAATTTGTGGAACACCATTCCTATGGCCCTTTACAATAACATGTCAGCAAAACATTGCTAAGGTAATGAAAACAAACACAGCTAGCACAAAGAACTGAGTTCTGTTTAGTTTTAAAACAAGAAATAGTATCAGCTTAACCACTGTCCCTTGACATTCAGCATTCCACCCCCAAGGGACAAGGTAAGCAAATAGGCCAGTTAGCATTTATGGAAAGAAAAGAGAAGAAGAAAGGGAGCTAAATAATAACCACTGATAGAACACAATAACCAGACTGGGTTGTATGCCTGTGTGAATTAACTGGGACACAACAGAGTGGAAGAATGACTGTAAGAGGCCTAAAGATTTTTAACATGCTTTTTGAATTTGTGGGTAGTCAATGCAAATGGAAAATTGGGGAAGACATGAATAACATTTAGTAGTGCTTAGAAACCTCAGAGAAAAGCATCTTAGAAACACCCAAGATAGATAGAATATCACACTTGATTAGTCTCTAATTCTTTAAAGGTGTCCCTATAGAAGTCAATGGGAGTTTTGCCATCAGCTTCAGGGGGGCAGGATGTCACCGTGCAAGTGCTTTATGGCTTGTGCAAGGTGCTATATAAAATTAATACGAGAAATGGTAAAGTACACTTCATTTGAAGAAAAATAGACTATGTTTTAAGATCTTCTGGTGCACTACATTACCAACCTGCTCTATAGCTGGGATTTCTCAGCTACACTATGTGATGGGCTATCCACCCCACACAGGACTGAAAGGGGTTAAAGTGGCCAGCTAGGCCTATTAACTTCACAGGCTGCACCTGGAGGAAGAGCCAGGGTGCAAGGAATTGATTGTAAGCAGGTTCAGCTGGGCTGTAATAGGTGGAGCCTATAAAGCCAGGAACCTGGCAACAGACAAGGGTTGTTGCTGGGAGAGAGCAGTCACTCCCTGGAAAAAGGGAGGAGGGTTTGGAGCTAGTACTGGAAGTGATGGGACTAACCAAGAGTGGTAGGAAGCAGTCCAGGGAAGGAGTAGTGAGGGCTGGGAGAGTAAAGCACAGAACTGCTGGGCTGAGGGTCCCTGAACTGGAGCCCAGACTAGAGGATGGGCCCAGATTCCCCTACCAGCTATTGAAGGCACCTGAAGCAATGAACAGGCTTGGGAAAACCGCCTAGGGCTGCTGAAGGAAAGACTCTGATATAGCCCCGGTAGGGGGGGATGCCGAGTGACCTAGCCTGAGGGCTGAGTCACAAAGAAGACACTGCAGCTCCTGGGCTGTGAGAGGAGCAACAGACCTGAGAGAGAGAGATGGTGTGCAACTTCAAGAGCTAATTCCCCAGAGTGACCAGGAGGAGGTGCCAGACTACTGGTGAGTGGTGCACTCCATTACATGCTATCATAAAATCCAGTAGCACTGAGACAGAGGCATCTAGCCCTCCCAGAGCCATGCAGTTAAAGAGAAGGAAAATAGACTCAGCTGTCACTGCCCCAGATAATGGTTAGATTGGAAATAAATGTATTTCCATACTCCACAAACTATCGAGCGTGCAGGAGAACGTGGGCCGCTCATGAACTATTCATGTTGGGCCAGATTCTCAGTTGCTGTCAATTAGTGCAGCTCCATGGAAGACAATGGAGATATGCTGATTTATACCAGCTGAAATTTCTGAGGCTATTATTTGTGGTGAGTGGTTGGTTACCTAAAGCACACGGTTTTGTTTCTACTCTCTGAATAGTAACTGAAACTTTTACAAATCAGAGCTGTGTAAAGAGGGATTTCAAAATTCACCCAGCAAGAATTGCAACATAGCTTTATTATGGAATAGAACAAACAAAATGAGTGCACTGATCTGTGTGTGATCCCCAACAATTCTTGTTGTAAAAGGATTAGGGAATAAACTTTTATGTAGCCTCTCTGTTATGCTTTCTTCAGTTTACTATCTCATATCTGCATCTAGCCCACCAGAAATCTCCTGTAGCACTGGCTTTGTTACAGAATTTTCTGCACTTAGCTGTACCTTCTATTCTATACCATATTTATGGTATGGTAAGCCTTCCATTTTAGGTATGTCCTTGCTGCAGAGTTAGCCTGGGTGATCAGCATCCAAGTTATCCTAGCTTGGGTGTGCCACACTGCAAAGTCACACTTGAGTTACTGTGTCCTCACTGGTGCTGTATTTACCCGTATGTGTCACTAGGACTTCTGGGGCCATGCCCCATGGTTATTTTGTGCTGCAGTAAGCTGAGCCACTCCCAGTGAATTGTGGGAGAAGCTGTCTTTCCTTCTGGGCACACAGAAGTCACGGACTATCAGCCCTTGAATGATTAATCCTGTGTCCATACTGCAAGGTGGGTTACCAGCCTGAATAAAAGCAGAATATGGGCTTCTAGCTCACACCCTCAGTCAAACCACCTAGCATGGGCTGAAAGCATCACTTAACCTGAATGAGAGTTTTTTGTGTGTGGAGGGGAGGCGGGGTTAGGCGAATAAAAGCCCAGGCTAACTCTGCAGTGAAGAGATACCCAAAATGAATCGGCGTTGTGACTCCTCTGTGCCCCTTTAAAATTTTAGTGTCCTCCTCATGTATGCTGCACAGTGTGTTCTATAGGGTAGAAAAAAATCTTTTGTGTGCAAGAAAGAGTGAATAGAACTGAAGAAGTTCCTGTCTGACTAGTGGACAGTTTAATCTGGACTAAAAAGGTAGCCTATGGAGCAATCAGAGCAAATTGATATTTTTTCCCCCCTGATGTCACAGGCTCAAAGATCCATGGAAGTTAAATAAAATTTAATACAGAAAGTCACAAAATTAGCCAAATTAGGCAATATATCAAAGTACGCTACCTAGCATAGAATAATCGGTCTAAAGTTAGACAATTAAGTTTGACAATAAAGGGACTGTTTCTAGGTCTGATTGTCCCCATCAGAAAGGGGAATAAAGCTACAGCACTTTCTATGTGACACAGAAAGGCAGCAAAGTTGATGCTAGATTTGAGGGGCATAATTTTAAGAACAGATTAAAAGGCAAATCCTAGAGAATTTTAAAAAAGCACCTTCCAGGTTTTTAGGGGATTAACCCAAGCATGGAATATCTTGATCAATAAAGGCAATGTATAATGGTGTCTTAGCCCAAAAGAGGGATCAGGAAAAGGAGGCTCTCATTCCAAATTAAAATATTTGAAGCAGATGGTCGGGAAATGCATTTTTTCTCCGTCGTCCCCCCCCCCCCCCCCGCCCCAAGGTGAGTCAAACATATGAAATGGCCCTTCCCAGAGGGATCATTCCCTCAAAAAGCTGGGGTCATTAGAAAAAAATCCAATGAGGTAGCAGGGGAGGACTATGAACATGGTAAACAAATAGGCTTGGCCATAACATCCACAATTAGATATATATATTACCTTTTCCACTGCTGCTGGCCAAGCATGATTTTTTTTAGCATCTACAAAGAAAATTATGCCCCCCTCTTTCCTTCTCTGCCCCCCTTTTGTCTTTCAAATGCACCTCATTTCCTGTCGCAGCTTTAAATGAGTCTTTTGTCCTGTCACATGGCCCCAGCTACTCTTAGTCACAAAATAGTACTTTACATTTCTACAGCACTTTGATTCGGGGACCAGAAAGCACATTACCACCATTCATGAACCCCTATAACATCTGTTTTATAAAGTGGTAAGGAGTTGCACCAAAAGATGAAGTGACCTCTCAAGGTCACACATGGAGTCAGGGGCAATACCAGGAATAGAACTTGGTCCCCTGTTGTAACCATTGAGCTAAACTCCATCCAGATCTTTCCATAAGATCAGGAACCAGCAGGGGAAGGACTGGTTACATTGAAAGGCCGTGGCTGGCCGTTGGGAATAACAGGCTTGCTGTCCAGGACAGCACCATGTAAGCCAATGAGATGAGTGAATGCAAAGCTGTGAAGCAGGCACCCTGAAGCTCTTTGCCTTCCTAGAGTGGTGGGAGGTTTTTGCCCTTGAGTTGGGGTGGGTCTTACGAAAGGAAGATGTAAATGGGAGGGGTCTCGTTTTGTTCAAGGGACAGAGGAGGGAGGGATGCCCAGCTGCAGTTTGGGAGATGGAAGTGGGAGGGGGCTGAAAATAACTACATCGAAGTGCTCCACGGGCTAGGGAAACAACAAATCTGCACCTCAAAAAAATTGCTACCATGTGCTACCACATTTCTTTTGTGGTGAACATACCTGAGCTGGATTTCATACTGCCCAGCCTGACGGTGCTGCACATTCCTCATGATCAGCGTGAAGATGTCCTCGTTTTGCAGGATCTCGCACTCTGCTCCCGACATTATTTCCTGCCCATCTTTAAACCAATGAACTGTGGGGAAAGGGTCTCCAGCAATGGCACAGGAAATAAGGACATTCTGTCCAGGAGCCGCTGTCACAGATCGTGGTTTGCTAATGAACCAGGGTTGAATACCGTCCTGAGGTTCTGCAGCGCACAAATGGAGGAGCAATGTGGGATTCAGAAAAAATAAGCAAGAGAAATGGCCACACCCTAAGTGTGAGCATCCAACTGACTACACTATATGATTCTATGATAACTATATGCAAAGTAACCACAGGGTCACAAGGGAATTCTGAACACTTTAGGGTATAATCTTCGAACCTGATAACACAGCTGGCCTTTAGCCTTGCATGCAACTCTTAGTAATACTAATATTAAGCAGTGATAGATCACATTATTGGCCAGATTTAGACCCATGTTACAAAGTTGCCCTAAATGGAAAGCGGAGGATTTCTCTAGTGTAGAGGGACAAGCTGGGAGCAGGGGTGGAGTCAGTGGAATGTGATTCATGGGGCTGTTACAAGCTAGTGTAACAGATCTGCCATGAGGCTGAACCCTGAAGGCTGAATCCTGGGTCAGGCAGAGAGGGAAAGGCAGACAAAGCCATTGCAAACCCAGGTGTGCCAGTCTGCTGTATCCAAGGAGGAAGCCCCATCGCCTCCAAATCATTTAGAAACATTAATTTATCAGATAACTCCTGGGAAGTAGGCATCCCATTTTAGGGAAACTGAGACAAGGAATTCAGGACAATGTTTGGAACTCTGATTTTTGGGTGTCCAAAGGGAGACATCTTGGGCCCAAATTTCAAAAGTAATGAGCACCCCAGAATTCTAAATAATGCGAATGGGAGCTATCGATGCTCAGTGCATTTGAAAGACCGGACCAACCACATCAACTTGGGCCTCCAAAATCAGAGAGAAACTGAATGAAGATTTGACTTATCGAGGGCCCCAGTGAAAGAACCAACACTGGAGTGCCTGAAGACTTATGGCTGCTTCTTATATACTTAAGTGACTTGACCATGCTACATCCCTCTATTTTTCTTTAAAAAGAGATGGTGCTGAGGGCACCTAAAGCCCCATGCACTTAGTTTAGGGCAAAGCCCACGCCCTGTACCCCAAACCACATTAAGGATGGGATTTATATCACACAGAAGTTGTCTTCTCAGACTTTGTTTATGAGGTTGTTTTCAAATTGCAGATTCCAAGTATTCCTCACACATTATTCTTTCGCTGCTAATAATAAAAGAAGCCAGCATGCCTGGCTCCTGGGCAGGTTTTCCAAATGCCCAGTGCTTTAATTGGAAAGAAAAACAGCATTAATGGTTTACAGTAAGTCCACAGCTAACTAAGCCTTGATAATCAGAATCTGTAGTAGTATTTAGCATAATTCTTGCATTGTCCTTAGCAATAGTGTGCAGGGATGAGGTTTTTAAACTGTAATGTGAAGTCCCATAGTAAAAATGGAGAAGTTGCTTCTGCTCAACAGCTCTTAACCCAAACACACAGATTTGAGTGCTCACAGCATCCACCACAACATACTTTACATACACTATCTACTTTAAATAGACCCTCATCCAGCAGACTGGAATACCGTCCTCTGTGCTCTTCCTAAATTCAGAGAGCTTCAAGCTTCATACCTTGTACAGTCAAAGTTGCTTGGGTCTGAGTTTCTCCTAAGTCATTCCATGCTTCGCAGGTATATTTGCCTGTGTCCTCAGGGAATACTTCCTGAATGTACAGGCTGTATTCATTGCCTTTCTTTTCAAAGTGAAAGTCTTCTGTCTCTTGGATTTCTTTCCCATTGTGCAGCCAGATAATTTCAGGAGGTGGGTTAGCTGAGCAACACCAAAAAAATAAAAGGCATCAACACAACTGAAAAGAGACGCAACCTCATCAGCTTCTTAGGATCTCAGAAAAGGCCCATTTCAGCCATGGCATAAGCAGGCACAAATTGCACTGATTACCTATTGCGTGCTGTACTTTTTTTGTGCTAGGACCTGGATCACAGCTCATGAAACACTCTGAAAGACATCCGATATAAACACAACTCGGCTTGTTGCATTATCTCCCCTGCCAGAGCTCCTTTTTTATTTACTGCCATGTATGGGATCAGCATGGAAACAAAACCCACTTGTAAAGTTGAATCTGTATCTGCCGCACCCAGATTCAAGCCAGAATCATCTATTAGGGTCAGAATGGAAGTGATCAAAGATTGTGATTTCAGGTAGGGAAGAACTGGCAGAAGAAATGGTTACTTACTGTAACTGTGGTTCTGTGAGAGGTGATGCAGATGTGTGTGCCACTCAGGTGTGTGCGCACCCGGCACACCAGAGCAGTGTGCCTAGCAGAACAGTAGGAGGCAGTGCTGCATGCCCCTAGCCCCTCGCCTGGCTACATGAGGCAGTGCTGCCTTGACCCTCTGTCGGTTCCTTCACGCTCAGCACCCAAAGACTAGGCTCCAATGCAGAGGGGACAGAGTGTGTCATGGAATACACATCCACATCATCTCTAAGAACCACAGTTACAGTAAGTAACCGTTTCCTCCTCTTCAAGTAGATGCAGCTGCTTATCCCGCTTAGGTGACTCACAAGCAGTACCCACCCCGAGAGGCAAGGCTCGGATCCTATCTAAACAAGGACTGCCAGACCGCCCTACCAATGTTTGCATCCATGCTGGATGACACAGTAATGGCATAATGGTTCATAAACGTTGGTATGGACAACCAAGTGGCAGCCCTGCAAATGTCCAATATTGAAACATCACTGAGGAATGCTATTGACATAGAATGAGCTCTTACCTGCTGAGGCGGTATAGTCAAAGCTATTTTGTATGCAGTCTTGTTACAGGATGTTATCCACCTAGAGATCGTTGCGAAGAGACCACTTGCCCCTTGATATGATCCGCATATGACACAGATGAGGCGAAGCACGAAATGGTTTAGTCCTGTCCAGGTAGGTTAGACATCTGACATCTAATGTTTGGAGACTATGCTCTCCAGGGATGAATGTGGCTTAGGAAAGAACACAAGTAAATACACTCCCTGGCTCAAATGAAACTGAGAAACCACATTAGACCAATTATTTTGGGTGTGGCGGTAAAGTAACTTTTTCTTTAGAGTAGGTTGGGATGGAGAGGAAGGGATATGGGAGGCTGAATCACCAGCATAAGAAGGCCGGAGAAACAACACTGCCTCAGCCATGCCAGGGCAATGAGGTTGAACTTGGCCCAATCTGCTTTCAGCTGGAGGATGACCTGTGGAATGATTGGGATCGGGGGGAAAAGTGTACAAGAGAACGGATTCCTAGCTGAGATAGAAGGCATCAGTCGGGGAGCCCAGACTGAGGCCCTCTCAAGAGCAGAACAGACAGCACTGCCTGTTGTCCCTTGTAGCAAACAGGTCGATCACTGGAATGCCCCATGCTCCTAAATGACCTGTGCGATGCTTGTCTTCAGGGACCACCCATGACTCAGGAAAAAATTCCTGCTGAGATGGTCTGCAAGGAGATTCTGGACACCAGGCAAGTGATCAGCTATTGAGTGATACTCTCCTCAATGCAGAACTGCCATAACCTGATTGCCTTTTAGCAGAGCACCCCAGAGTGTGCTTCCCTTTGCTCCCCCTTGCCTGTTGACATAATACATTGTGGTAGTATTGGTACGTAGGTGAACCATGGAGCCCCTCATACAGTCCAGAAAGGCATGACCTGTATTGTAGATGGCTTGAAGCTCCAGGACGTTGATATGCAGTGAGGTCTCCTGCTCTGACCACAGAGGGTGGGGTAGAGAGAAACTGGATGGCATAGCCAAATCTGATAGTGCTTAGGACCCAGCTGTCAGTGGTAATCAAGCCCCAAGCATTGTGATAGCTAGCCAGCCAGTTCTGAACAGAGGCGATGACTTGGACCATTGCTCTGGACAAAAGAGTAAAAATGGGAGCTCAGGGCATCAGAGGGGAGGGGCGTTTTGACTGGCCAAACCCCGGCCCTGAATACTTTCTCTTCTGAGACCTATGCCCCTTTCTGAGGTAGAGCCATTGTCTTGGGGAAGGGACAGGCGGCTCAAAGGTGTGTTGCAGACAGTATTGTTGCTGCTGTTGACCTCCATAGTGGCACCTTTGCATTGCGGGAAATATACACCCCCCAGAAATGTAACATAACCCTAGAATCCTTGAAGTGGAGTCTTGTCCATCTTGTCTGAAAAAAGCACTCAGCTGTTGAAGGGCAAATCCTCCTTAGTCTGTTGCATGTTGGGAGCAATGCACACATTCTCCAGCAAGGACACCCTTCTCATGCCCCTGCTGAGGCTATCACTCTTGTCAAAGTGTCTGACATTCAGTGTGGACTGTAATGTCTTAGCCACCAAACAGCCTTTGGCGACGAACCCCTGAAACTTCTCCTTGGAGGCTTCAGACAACTGTTCTGCAAACTTAGACACAGCTGTCCAATTCACAAAATCTTATTTGGACAACAGTGCCTACTGGTTCACAATCCACATTTGCAAGGAAGAGGAGGTTTAGATCTTTCTACTCCTTGTCCTTAGAAGTGGACTTAAATCTGCCCTGCCAGGTTCTATCATTCATGGCAGTTACAACCAGGGAATTTGGGGCCAGATGGAGTAAATGCCCTCAAATCCCTGCTCTGCTACAAAATAGCATTTCTTCAAGCCCTTTGCAGGAGGGAGTACCAAAGCTGACGTGCTCCAACGAATCTTTGCAGGCTCTAGGAGCACATAGCTAATAGAGAAAACCACTCTCCCAAGGGCAGGCGGCTGCAGGAGCTCCAACAACCAATGGGTATTCTCCTTCAGTCCCTCCTCCTGAATGCCCAGGGAAGCAGCCACGTGCTGCAAAATGTCCTGGTTGGCCTTGAAGTCCTTGGGCACTAAAGGAAAGGAAGAGCCAGGCACTGTTGAATCAGCTGGAGACAAAAAAAAGAGGCTATTAACTGAAGCAGGCTGGATCCTGTTCTTGGACTGATGAACCTGGACAGGATGACTCTGGAGGCTCTGTAAGGGGAAAGCTGAACTGCTGCAGGTCCAGGATCAAATCAACAGTCCCTGCCACTGATCTACCTGGTGATCTTACCTTAGGGTAAGCTGAGGGAGTGCGACCTCTTCAGCTGAGTGTCCCATGGGTGCCAGGAGTGGTAACAATGCAGCTGACAGTGATGCAGTGGAGGGTGGCAAGTGCTGCCCCAGTAACACTGGTGGCACTGAGCACAGCACAGTAACAAGGAGTTTCCTGGTGCTGAGGAGGTCCTGAGCCTGGCACTACCCCACTTCCACAGGCTGCAGAAGGGAAACACTGGGGTGCAGTGCCAACAGACACCAGTTCAGTCGCTCACCCAGCCACCAGGGCTATAAACTAGGTTAGCCTTGGAACAGTTCTGGACCAAGGCAGAGCTCAGGACAGAAAGGCAGAGGAGGTCCACTGCAGCCTGATATGCCACCAGCATGGAAACAGCTGCTGCCGACGTCACCCTTATAGGTACCAGACAACAGAGACTCCAGAGCTGGAACCGGAGTAGACAGTACAGGGTCTCTAACCTCCCTACACAGTACCGGGGAGTGGTGAGAGGGACCTGCTCCACCCTGCATGCTGGCAATAATACTGGGTGGGTCCATGCTCTTTCTGGAAGAGAAGAGTCTCCATGAGATCCGGAGTGGTCTCAATTGGCCTTATGCAAACTTTTCCTTGGTGCACTTGAGGGGGGAAATCAGCTCCTCCATCTCTTCAGTGAAGCACTAGATCCAGAGTGCAAAACAGCAGCAGTTTCAGAACCTGAGGGCGACCTTCAATCTGATATAGGCCTTGGTGTTGAAGCGGGCCATGTGGCCTGCAAAGTTCCCTAGCCACCTGAGTCCATTTTGTGGATGATTTACAAATTGACCATCACTCCCTGACATGGGCCTTGCCCAAGTACAGCAAGCATTGTACATGAGTATTACTCTCTTCCCCCCCCCCCCCCAACAGACAATGAAGGTATCACTAGGGAAATACTTAACTAAAGGTAATTCACACTAAATCTCAACCAACACTAAAACTAAGGGAACTAACTATATACAACTAGAAAAGTCTCTCAACTATAGAGAGAGAGTTTATGAAGTTAAGAACCACACAGCTGTGACTCTAGCCACAGGCAGTAAGAAGGAACTGAGGGGGGTTGAGGTGGTGCTGCCTCATATAGCCAGGGGAGAGGTAATGAGCACTGCCTCCTAAAGGTACTGCAAGGCAAAACTCTCTGGCTCCAGTGTGCTGGATCCTGAGTGGAATACACAGCTGCATCTACTTGAAGAAGCAGCAGATGAACACCAAAAGAAACAGATGCTAGCTTAAACGAGAGGTCCCCAGTGAGAGCACCAAGTATAATGACAACTTTTGTCCAAAAGGCTGTTTCCCAGTCACCTTCTCGAATTATTGTAACAGGCAAAATTATTTCCAGTAGAAGGTTTTCCATGAGATGTTGGTTGCTCCATAGGGAAGATCTTAGCCAAAAGGTGGTAGGCTTGGGGTTTGTTTGTTTAATAGTTCAACTCTGGGTCAAGCAGGTGAGACCCTTACTCACACTGGGCAGTACTTTACCCCTTGCACCATCCCATATGGACTAAATAGGACTGCTCAATAGTAAGGTACTACTCAGTGTGAGTAAGGGAATCAAAGAGCCATGGATATCAATAGAAATGTCTGTGATAGGAGGTAACGTTGAGTATTTTTTAGTACAGCTCTTTTGGAGATAAAAAATAATAAAGGTGTGAGCTATAAAATGACATTTTAGATCCTCTGATCAAAGTTAGCTGCCAGAGATTTGTGTTACCAAAGTTCATACTAGGGCTGATCTGTCTTCTACAGCACTAATCTTGCACCAGCTGACAGCAGTTCAATCTTGTCTGGTTCACAGCACAGGCTATTATGAGCCCTTCAAGACTTAATTTCAGTTCAACAACAAGGAGTTGATATTATTCTGCTTATTACAATAAAGAGATCCTTCTGCAGATCTGAACACTAACAATAGACAGTGTTCATCCACCTTCAGGCTCAGTCCAGACAACCCTAATTTTTACTTTGTTAAAATTGGCTCCTTGAAGCATTATATTTAATTACAAAGTCTCTCTCAGTAAGACATAAAAGGCAAACACTACACATTTTAATTATTTGGTAGGTCTAGCATCCAAGGTTTTTCTTTTAAATAATGCTGATACTTTGTTACTCACCTGATACTTCCACAGTCATTATTACTTGGCTTCCATCCATGACCTTGAGGTCAGTCAGGCCTTTAAGGAAGACTGGTGCAAAGGCGTTGTTTGTCTGAACAGACTGTGTGCTTTCCACTTTCTTGCTGCTTTTCTTTTCTGTGGAATCAATGGAAAAACAGACAGGTCTCTTACTGGAAACTCTCTCAATGCATTTTAGCTGCTCTTCGACTCAGGGTGATTTCAGTTGGGTGGTCTCAGTCCAGTTCTTAGACAGGTATACACGTCACCAAAACCCACCACCAACATGGCTGTCTCTCCTGTTGGCAGCCTCAGAAGAGAGGCCAAAGACTGAGTGAAAGTATTGACTGAAGTGTCCTCCCTCCCCCAATCCTCCCAGCTCAGAGTTCAGGTATATTGGCAGGATAGCATGGAGACATTTAAACTCATTTTCCTTAATACACCTGTCCTTATGCAGAGACTTTGTCTCCACAGCTGACAATCCAGTTCCTTTCATGAGTGCTAAATTCATAGTGGAATATGGAAACCCACCTCACCCCTCTCCTGTATTACACTCAGCAAATTGTGTGATGATGGGAAAGATTCCTTACTGCCCCCGAGGCAATTGGCTTATGCCCTGAAGGATGAGCTATGTTTAGCCTTACTTTAGGGTATATAACTAAACTACAGCTCCTTTAGTTAAAAATTATCCAGGATTGTTGGAGACTCCTCCTACAGTCTGTCTGGAGGGATTCATATGGTGTGAAATCAGCTTATTTGGCTAGATCCTGACAGATGCATCAGATAAGGGTAGGTACTTCTGCTCAAAAGCTCAGAGGAAGTGCATTTATGGAGCCAATGTACTGGCGGTGGCCAAATATAGCAAGCCATCAAATATCTGTCAGTCACTTGGGAACACTTGCTGTTTGATTTATCTTGTGAGCTCGCTGAGGGTAGAGATTGTGCTGTCTTGTACAGTGACAAGCACATACTCATGGCCCTCCATAAACAAGAACAGCTTCTTTTGTGTCTGTTCCCATCCAAGAGATTTTTGCCCTAATTCTCCCTAAAGTATTTTTGTCTAAGAGGAGCCTTTTCTAATGGTTTTGTCCCAGAGGCTTATGGTATAGGAAGTTTTTCCATAGGGATGGATAGCAAGAGATTGAAGCTTGTTTGGTAAGAAATGGGGGAACTCAAACCTACTGCAGCTGAATGTAATGGGCTTAGTTTTTGAAATGCCTAGTTTTCCACCATGCTTCATTTATCTAGCACCTATTTTCAGTGCGAGTGGCATTGCGTAGGTAAAATGGTCATGCTTTTGGTTCAGGCCATCTCCAGTAACAAGCTACCAGGGTTTGTTAGCTCCCCCCGTATTTCATTCTTCACTCATGGAGAATGTTAGAGAAAGGAAGTGCTGGAAAAGGACGGCTGCATTGTGCAATCCAAGCTAGTTTCCTCTGCTACATTTCTAATGCCTGGCAAAGCACCACATACAAAGGAATAAAGATCGGGGGGAGAACAGCCATTAAAAAGGGGGGAGGAAGAGAGAAATAGAACTGGAAATGGAGAGCAGAGACCAAAAAGGACACTGAGAAATAATGCTTCTAGAATTCCCTTTATCCCAGCATCTCCTAACATTTTACAAATACAGAGAGAAGGACAAAGGCACCACGGGACAGGCAATCTAAAGAAGAAGGAGCAGGAAGAACACAAGGGTGAAAACAGCATTGTTACTAACAGTACTCCACTAAGACTGACCAGGACATTTATTTAGAACCTTTGACTCCCTTGTTCTGTATAATCTAAAAACAGGTGAATTTCTGTTCTGTTTTCAAGAGACTAGCACTACACAGTATACCCAGAATATGTTATAAACTGGTTTAGTCACTGCAGATGGAATATGTGAAAAACAAAACCCAAAAACAATGTAAGCAGCATTGAGTCCTCCGAATGTGCACCACAAAAATGCATGTTTTATGCACTGGAATAAAACCATCTGTTTATACAAAGCTGTATCAAAGTTAAAGGACATCTGCAGTAGTGGTGAAGAGCAAACAAACCCCTACAAATAATTACGTCTTAATTATAACAAAAAGAGTGATTATAAGTTTAGGCTCCAGTTTTGCAAGTTGTTCCAAGCAGATGAACCCCACCATACACATGCAGCGTTGACGACTTCACTTGGGCTGTGTGTGGAAGGAAGGCTCTCCCCATTCATAGCAACTTACAGGATCAAGATCTAAACAGCAATCTGCCATCGTGACTGGCCAATGCTGACCAATAATACCTGACACTTTAAGGTGAAGTGCAGAGAGCTAAGCACCGCTTAAATCTCATACAAGGTGTAGGTTAAATTTAAGCAGTGCTTAGGCTTGTACCAATCTCTACACAGAGGTGAATTTCACCATTACAGAAAGCATAAAGGTATTTAAACCATGTTTAGCTCAATAAAAGAGCTGGAAGAGAAAGCGTAAAAGGGTATAAACTAGTGAGGGAGAAGAATTATGAAGGTGGGATAAGGAGGAAATGGGATGAAATTATGGACATGAAAAATTAGGCTGAATATCATTGGGGGGGCATTTCTAAAGCTGAGCAGTGTCTCTTCAGGCGCAGAAAGAAAGACACTGTGTATATTATAACCTCTAGGGAGACATTCCTATCCTTATAAACATGTTCTGTATCAATACACAGATATTGTTTTAAACTTCTCCTTAAGAATGTATTAAGCCTTTCAGATTTACTTTAAATAGTCCACTACTTAATTTCTCATTATATTTTATGACCCAGTAGTGGAAATGACACTTTTCTGATGCTTACGCTTGTTAGACTGCACATATGGCAGGGAAGGCAGCTCTGTAGCAATGGATGTGAGCATTTATGAGACCCTGACAGTGCTCGAATAGCTCCTAATTGCATCTGTTCTGAGGGAGAATTCCATAGGAAATGAAAAGTGCAATCAAAGAATCATAGAAATGTGAGACTGGAAGAGACCTCAGCAGGCCATCTCGTCCAGTCTCTTACACTGAAGCAAGACTAAGTATTGTCTAGACCATCGCGCACAGGTGTTTGCCTGTTCTTAAAAACTTCCAATGACCAAGATTCTACAATCCCCCTTGTTCCAGTGCTTGACTAGCCTTACATTTAGGATTTTTTTCCTAATGGCTAACCTAAATATCCCTTGCTGCAATTTAAGCCCATTACTTTTTGTCCTGTCTTCAGTGGATAAGGAGAGCAATTTATCACCCTCCTCTTTATGACAACTTCTTAATGTACTGAAGACTTTTATCATGCGGCCCCCCACATTTACAATTCTCTTCTCCAGACTGAACAAACCAAATGTTTTCAATCATGGCTAAGATAACTAGTATTCCCATTCAAATTATGACACCTAGTAGTCGCATGACCATAGTGCCTAGGGGCTCTAGGTCATAACCAGGACCCAACTGTACTAGGTGTTGTACAAACACAGAACCAAAAAACAGCCCCTGCCCCAGGGCTTACAATCTAATTAGAGTGCAATAAATGAACGGCTGAAGAGACTGACTACAAAGAAACCGGAACATACTTTTTTCAGACACACACAGCACTAACAAAACCGATTTAACCCCCCCCCCCCACCACCACCACCAACGATGTGTCTTACAAAGCACAATCTGATTTTAAGCTATTCCTGTTCAAACACAGTGTGCTGCACGCACTGGTATTTTAAAGCAGGTTATCATCATTGCCATTTATTTCTAAACTTGAAAATGTCTTATTTTATAGAGACTTAAATTCTGGATTTTAAACACCATCTGTTTAAAAGGAAACCATGACCACTTATTCCATGTAATGTCCCATCCTCTAAAAAGGACAGAAGACACTGGATATTAATTATGCTTAGGAAAATTGAATGGATATGCTGACAAAGCTGTGACTGCTAATGAACACTAGACTCTGACAATATGGGTGTTCTCTTGCTGTATCGCCGGCTCTTAGTCTAAAGCCACACTTTCTTATTTTGGGATCCAACTTTACAATGTGATGTGCTAGAGTGGAATGCTTTACTCATGCAGCATGCTTGTGCTGGAGGATTAAATTGCAGGATCTGGGCCTTAATCATTACCCAGCTCTCCTTTTGTAAATCACATATTGCAGTACAAGGTTGACGAGGTAATATCTTGTATTGGACCAGCTCTTCTTCAAGTCTCTGTGTAAGCTTGAAAGCTTGTCTCTCTCTCCAACAGAAGTTGGTCCAATACAAGATATTCCCTCGCTCACCTTGTCTCTCTAATATCCTGGGAACAACATGGCTACAACACTGGAAACAATAATGCATTACAGTAACTTAAAACCTGCTGCAGACTGCATTCTAATACTTCATGACTTGTTAGCAAGGCTGCACAAGTATTTTCCTAACTTACTTTGGAAAAAAACCTATTTTCTTCAGTTTCACACACATTATTTCACCTTGCGTAGATTATGCTTCCAAAATGTCTTGTGATGTTTTTATGAAAAAAGATAAAACATTAACAGGGCCTCTATAATGACAGGTTAAATAAATAACTCGTGCCCATTTATGATGAAAGTATATAGGCACTATATGTTTCCACCGTGTATTGAAAATATTTAGCTAAGTATTTTGACTGAGTTTTTTTCTCTTGGAAAAAGAGTGACAGCTTGCACTGAGTCCTTGGAGTAATCTCAGGATTTAACAACCCACAAATGCAGACTACACCCACTCATACCACCACCAGTCACCAACTAACCACAGACATGGCATTGGGAATTGAACTAGTGACTTTCCAAACACTTGAATAAGGGGAGGGTGGGGGCGGGACCAGGGCCGGGACAAGAGAAACATAATACTCAAGAACAAAGGGTTGACAGCACACCCTCTACAACAAGAGGCAGGTCTTGGGGTGGCTTGGGATTTCTTTCTCACAGACCCCTTCCCCCAAGCCCTTTCTGCCATATTAACCCAGGAGTTCAGATGCTTCTTTGAACTGCTTCCTTTTCAGAAATCAGACTGGAAATCTTATGAGAGCAGTGTCTCACTAAACTTCTGGCAGGAACAACTTATCCTATGACATTTTTTGGGCATTTCTGGTGCCAGAGGTAGAGAGGCAGTCAAATGGGAAAAGAGTTAATTGAAAAATCTGGAACCTCAACAAAGGTTG